GCTTCTCCCTCTCCCACTCCCCCTGCTTGTGTTCCCTCTCTCGCTGTCTCTCTGTCAAATAAATAAATAAAATCTTTAAAAAAAAAAAAGAATTCAGAGCAGTTCCTTTTACAGTGCCTCGCACACCATAGGTGCCCACAGATGTTACTGGTTGAATCTCATGGTGCTGTTCTTTTTGTCATTTGAAGAGAATTACCGAGATCCAGCTCTGCTCTGTGGGACCTGCTCTCCACAGCCGATGGGTGTGGCAATAGATAGTAAGCACTGTAATAATGTGTACACCACTTGACACAGAATTTGCCAACTGAAATATCCCTGGATTAATAAAACTAATTTATCCATAGGATGCTCATTGCAGTTCGTTTTTGCAATAGTGAAAAAGTGAAGGGGATGTAAAGATTCAACAATAAGTTACGTATTTTTACAGTGGAGTATTATGCAACCATTTCAAAGTGACATTACAGAAGAGCAGTTTAGTGACCCGGAAATATTCATGTTTGTGAAAATTATATATATATTTATATAATATATAATCATATGTGGTATTTATATATACAGTTAAATAACAATATTGTGTTTGTGTACATAATATGTATAATTATGTATATTAAATATATAATATATAATAATTATATATAATATTATATACTGAATAATATTGTATTCATCTATTATACTATATTATAGCATATTATCTATATACTAATATAATTATAATTAATATGATTTACATATTAATATATAGCAAATATACTACATGATATCATTAATATATTAATATTACACATAGCATATTATAAATAATAGTATATATTTATATATACAAATTCATATATATATACATGTGTGTGAAAAATCACTTATCTGATTATACAGACACACATATAAAATGATCTTGTTAAAATATGGGTATAGATAGTCATACATATATGTTATAGTATATATAGGTATAAGAATATATATATCAAAATATTAGTGGTGATCATTGGGTAATTGTGGAATTGTGGCTAATTTTTATTTCCTTGAGCCATTCTATATCTTTTTAACCATATATAATACCTGTATATTATCTTAATATTAGAAAAAGTAATTTTAATGATAGATGCAATGTCAAACACAAGCCTATCTCTGGCCATTTTACTGCCAAGAAAATCATGAGTTGGGACATGAAAAAATGACAAGCTCTCATGATCTCATACTGACTAAATATGCATTTATTTGAGACTGGAGGAGTACACACTTTGGAATTATCTGGTTGCAAAGAATAGATAACTTGAGAAAAAATTAATTTATTGGTAAGATGTAAAGCATCTGAGAAAATGCAGCTCAGGCCTCATGAAGGAACTGCAAACAAGGATTTCTGAAGGTCAAGTGGCTGTTCTCTCTCTCTCAATGCACGGTTTCCTCTGTCAATGTTGGCACATCTGCTTTTCTCTTCTCTCTCTCTGGTCTGACTTCCAGCTACCTAGCAGGCTGAGTCTCTGGACCCCATGTGACTTTCCAGTTCAAATACTCAACACTGCCAGGCACTCAACAGAGTTTCTGTTGATAGTTCCAGATTCAGGAGGGGAAAGATGATCGACCTAGTGTTTATCAGTTAGCTTTTGCTCCATAACAGACTACCTCCAAAACTTAGGGACTTAAAACCCCAATTATTTAGCTTCCAAGTCCGTGGGTCTGTGGGTGGTTCTTCTGGTCTGGGCAAGGCTAAGCTGACCTCAGCTGGGCCAGTCAGCTGGCAGGTCAGCCATGGGATGGTCAGTCTGTGATGGCTTCTCCTCTTCAGTGTCATGTCATCCCCCAGCAGGCTAGCCCAGACTCGTTGACATGGTGGTCTCAAGTTTCCAAGAAGGAGTGAGGAAATATGCAAGGCCTCTCAGAGCACAGACATCATATCCCCTATTGGCCAAAGCAAGTGACAAGGCCAGCCCAGAGTCAAGAGGGAGAGAAGCAGACCCCTATCTTGAAGGGAACAGTTACAGAGTCCTGTTGTAAAGAATGCAGTTACAGGGAGGGGAAGAATTCTGGCCCTTTTTGCAATCTGCCCTTTAATCTGCCAAGCACCCAGGCTGACATGAGCTCCATCTTGTAGCAATAGAACGTTACATATTTCCATGTGGCCCCAGGGATTGAGGCAGCAGGGGAAGAGAGAGACTGGAGACTTGTGCGTGTAAGCTTTTCACTTCCAGAGTTTCACCCTGGAAGGGACACCTGTCGTGTCCCCTCATACCCCATGGCCAACGTCAGTCACATGGGCTCCACCTTACAGCAAAATGAGTCAATGGAGTATTTAGTGGGCGTTACTCTCTCCACCACAGTGAGCCATCTGCAGACCTATCTGATTATCACTAGTGTCAGAAAGGTGGAGGGGCAGGTAAGGGTAGTGCTAGAGAGAAAATGTATGAAACCGTGACTAAGGAATGTATCATAGGTTACATGAAGCTCTTAAGGAATCCCTAGGGCAGAAGGCTGGGCCCAAAGGAGTCAGAGTAAGCAGGAAGAAAATCCAAGTATCTCAGCCTCTGAAAGTCCAGAAGCATTCCATTCAGACCCATTCAGAGTCTCCTTTAAGCTTTTGTTCTGCCCCAAGAGCTAAGTCAACCCAGGAGACAAAGGCAGTAGAGTCACAGGTAGTAATCAGGGTTCAAGTGTTCAGAGGTGCTAAGTCAAGAAAATGAAGCTGAATATCAAGTTCAAAGACAAAAGAAGGAAAGGGAACATCAAGCAGTAAGGTCAGCAGTTTGAGAAGCTGAAGCAAGATGGAATCAGGAGTGAGGAAGGGAAATGGGAAACTTGTATCCATCTCTTTAGCTTAGCACTGAGTCCATGAGTTCTGAGAAGGGGGTCAGAGCTCACATTCTGTGCAGCATCTGGTGGCCAGGGCAAGAGAGGGACCTAACAAAGACACATGGGACTGCACACTTGAGACTTCAAACCAAAACCTTCAGTCTCCCACGACGGTTTACTCCTGTTTACCCATTTTTGGCTTCCTTGTCTCTCATTTGGCCTTTGTGGCATCTCTTGCTTTCTCCAATTTCTCACACCTGAGATTTTAACTTTTACAGTATCTCTACATTCCAAATACTTAGGGTTAGAGGGGCAAGTTATATTTTTAAGTTTTTATTTTAATACAGTGTAGTATTAGTTTCAGGTATACAATATAGTGATTCAGCACTTCCATACATCACCTGGTGCTCATCGTGACAAGCACACTCCTTAATCCCCATCGCCTATTTCACCCATCCCCCCACCTGGCTCCCCTCTGGTGACCATCAGTTTGTTCTCTAGAGTTAAGAGTCTCTTTCATGATTTGTCTCTCTCTTTCTTTTTTTTCTTCCTTTGCTCATTTGTTTTATTTCTTAAATTCCACATATTAGTGAAATCATATGGTATTTGTCTTTCTCTGACTGCCTTGTTTTGCTTAGCCTGATGCTCTCTCGCTCCATCCATGTTGCTACAAATGGCAAGATTCCATTCTTTTTTATGGCTGAGTAATATTGCATTATATATATATCCATTTATCTGTCAGTGGATACTTGGGCTGCTTCCATAGTTTGGCTCTTGTAAGTAATGCTGCTATAAACATAGGGTTACATGTATGCCTTTTGCACTAGTGTTTTTGTATTCTTTGGGTAAATATCCAGTAGTGTGATTGCTGGATTGAAGGGTGGATCTTTTTTTAACCTTTTGAGGAAACTCCATACTGTTATGCAAAATGGCTGCCCCAGTTTGCCTTCCCACTGACAGTGCACAAGGGTTCCTCCTTCTCCACATCCTTGCCAACACCTGTTATTAAGAGGGCCAAGTTATTTTTTCTAAAGTGCAATGTCCAAAATATTAGTCACGGTTGCTGAGGTCTCCTTTGAATTCCCACCTGAAATTCCTACATGATCATGTGATCATAAATGTGGTTTATGCCTCGCAGAAAGTACCACAGAAGCCAGGTAGGGCAGGAATGGCTTCTAGGTACTGCTACTCCCTATTTCATATATAAACTTAGCCTAATGTTTGCCTATCAAGAGGAGGCAAAAGGCATTGGTCTAAGCACCATGCTGGTTTGGTGAGACACGGAAAGAGAGCCTTGCTTGACCTGTTGTGCGTTGCCTTGCAGGTCAGTGGGACCATGTACAACACTGGAAGACATGTGTCCCTGCGCCTGGACAAGGAACACTTGGTTAACATATCAGGAGGGCCCATGACATACAGCCACCGGCTGGAGGAGATCCGACTACACTTCGGGAGTGAGGACAGCCAAGGGTCGGAGCACCTCCTCAACGGACAAGCCTTCTCTGGGGAGGTATGTGGGGCTGTTGAAGTACTAAAGTTGAGTGCCAATTAATAAGACTTGGTGCCTATTTATACCCAAGGTGGGATAACAGATGGAAAGCTTTCTTTTAAATCTGTGAAATGAGAAGGTCAGTGCCTCCTTTCTCCATCTGTCTTTTGCAAGTTGATGTGGAAGTCTGTAAACGTGCTTCCAGTGTTTTCTAGGGAAGGCCACAATGAAACTGGGTATTTCCTTCTGAGACATTGGTGCAGCTATCATGACTCATGCCCTACAGTATCTCTGGAGCATTATTTTAACCCCAAATCCTCACTTTTCATGCACACCTTCACTTACACCTACTTGGACCATCAGCCTTTCATATGAGAATATAGGTTCCATAATTTCTTCCTTCTGGCAGAATGGATCTTATTTGCACAAAACTATAACTTACTGTGAAATAAATGTCAGGCAGATAAATAGTCTGCCTGACTTTCTACAGAATAGAAATGTCATTGTATGTCACCATTAATGGTGAGTATCACTATGTGCCACCATCAACCCAGATAGGACACAGACCATAGCAGCGAGCCAAACCAGCTTCAATTATAGGATGAGAGATATAACAGATAGCATCTGGATTCTGACCCTTGACAAGCATGGTATATTTAATTTGTCCTCTTACACTTGGGGGTGGTTATCAATTAGGGGTCTGGGGGGCTTATATGCTAAATAGTCGGTAACTACGTTTCTGTTTAAAAGTCCTCAGTAACTGAGGTCAAGAAAGCTTTAAAATAACAGAAGTATGTATCTCACAATTGACTAGTCTTTTTAATTTTTTTCAATCAACATCATGTTTAAACCTGGCATTGTTTTTAATATAGTAAGGCCATACACTGAGAAAGAGAGGCCAACCTTAAGGAGTCCCTTGGCCAGATTTTAATGATTGTTCAAAGTGTATCAACTGAGAATGTACTAGGCTCTAATACAAAGATTAAAAAACAAAACAAAAAACAAAAAAAAAAGGCAAAGCTCCTACCACAAAGGAGTTCAAAGAATACTATATTCAAATCATTGAAGTATTCTGTTATTAGAGTATTCTGAGATGTACAAAGACTCTGGCCAACTCACAGGAAGAAGTGACAGATCTTCCCTGAAGGGGTCAGGAGAAGTGTCCCAGAGGAGGGGCCCTTTGAACTGGGCTAAGAAGAGAGGAAATGCAGAATAATGTTTAAGAACATCAGCTCTGGAGTCAAAGAACCAGAGTTTGTACGTCCTGCTCTAATACACACTTACTGTGTGATCTTGAGATGGTTTCTTGATCCTTTTAAGGCTGAGTTTACACACCTCATAAGGTTATTTTGAAAATTAAGTGGGATTTCAGATGTAAGGAACATTTGGAGTACTCAAGAGTTGATAGACAACAAAGATAAAGCAGGAAATTTTGAACAACAAAGGCACCAACCTGTGTCAGGACCTTGTGTGTACTGGGGAAGCTTCAGGTAGAGCTCAGCTCATCTATGCTCTATTAGTAATGGCTGCATAGAGCACAGGACTGAGCAGGAATGAGCCTCCTTCCTGGATCCATAGGAAAAAATGCTAGGATTGATTAGGGATGTCTGCCAAAGGCACCCTAATGGAAAAACTCCCTAGAGTTGCAGATTCTGAGCTAGAGTATAGCAGGGAAGATGAGGAAAGCAGGGCAAAAATCCATGAATTGAGAGTGACCAGGGACTGCCAGTCTGAATTAGGGAATATTCTAAATTAGATAAACACTTCCTTTTTAAATACATATCATTTCAGTATTTGTAACTTTTATTTGTTGGTTTACTTGCTCATTTCTTTGCTTTGATTTCTTTGCTTTTTTCTCTCACTGATCCTTATCATAACATTGCCTCCGATTAAAAACTAATTTATTAATGAATTTATTTATTGAATGAGTGAAAAATGTGGATGGTTACTTGGCTAAAATCTTTGCTTTGTAGAATTCCTTAGAATTGCCTTTTTCTTCAGTGTGTGATAAGGGTGCATTGTAATTTGTATAGGAACTACAATTTTGGAGTAAATGAGTGTCTCCAAAATCCTTAACGGAAACACATAACAAGTTGATCTCTCAAAGTATTGATTTTTCTAGACATACCCAGACCACAGGTATCAGGCACTCTAAGGAATCTGCATTTTTAAAGCCCCCAGGAGAGTCTGATGATTAGGTTTGTGAAGCACTCATTCCACTGGCACATTATTAAGTGCTTTCAATGAATAAAGCATCTAAACAGAGTTGCAAGTGAGAATTAACTGGGGACCATTGTCAAAATATTTACATTTGAATCCTGCCCTAGGGCAATTGAATCAGGGTCTCAGGGAGTGGGGTCTAGATATGCACCTTTATATAAATTACCCCCAAGAGATTTTGGTGAGTGACCACTGTGCCAGTTTTAGCTCAGAATATGCCTGAATTATCCCAGTTTTCTAAACAATGAGGACTTAATCAACAAAACCATACCGCACAAAAATTTAAAAGGGCACCCGGTGTTATGGCAAATGGCAAAGCTGGGGTGCTGTCTAGACAGATGAGATTTGGAGAACAGCTTCCCAAGCAGGCAAGCCAGAGCATTGGCCTCAGCATAAGTACTATTACACCTTGTCTTGGGCAGACCACATCAGCTGTGTTACTTTTCTTTCCCAGCCCCTCAGTATGAGTGGTCTCAGTATGAGTGGTCTCTGAACTGGTGTGGGTTTAGGTATAAGAAATCAGAATGCTAGAAGCACCAAAACAATGTCACGTGGCTAAGTATTAGCCTTTGAGATATTTAAGAGTTTAGTGACCAAGAAAATTTTGGCACCTTCTCTGTGGCATGAGGGAAAAGACCTAGGGTCCATGGATGGAAGTCCTAGAAAGATGGAGTTCAACTAAATAAATATACGTTCTAACAATGAGAGCTATCCATTGATGGAATGAGTTTGCCTCTGAAGATAGTGAATTCCCATCACTGGAATTATTAAGCATGGAATGGAATTTGAGGACTTCATAACAGTGACTCATCTCATATCCTCATGAGCAAAGAATGTACCTTCTAGTACTGAAATCCCATGTAATCCATGATTTCCTTATAGAAAATGTCCCCCAACCAGATTCCACTGAGTGTTAGCCCCAGTTTGAGTAAATATAGCCCATCCTGGAGGTTAATGTCTTATTTTTATTTTGTGCTGTCTTCAAAGCCACCTTTGGTCTCTGTTTTTGGCTATCCTCTGAGAGGACCTAAGTAGACACTTCTAGCAACAGAGCGTGTGTTTATTTTGTTGACAATGAATAATCACATCGCCATCTGTCCCATCTATCATCGCCAATCGTGATAAGTCAATTAATGCCAGGCATTTTCCTTGGCACGGCGCAGCAGTCGTTATCTCAAGAGCTGAAGATTAATTGCAGTCTTGTCTAGTGAGGTTATTGTAATTGATGGTAATCATTTGCTTTGTTTTATAAAGCTGTGTGGATGTACGACACAGTCAGCAACTGCATTTTTATAAGAATTATTCATGTCCTACACGGAGCATTCCTGGATGCCTTGTTGGGGGCTGGTGATAAATGAGCATATTCAGGGATTCAAATGTCTCCATTTTTTCAGGAAGGGAAAATGAACCATTTTTAATATGGAAGACCCTTCACTTGCTAATCATGTCTAACTAACTGGTTAGATTATGTCCACTCTAAAGTAGGGTATTTATGAAAAGAAACAAATGCATTAAGTAGGCAAAAGATAGTATTTGAAAAGAATCCTGGGGATGGATGAAGTTCCAGTAGTGAGGCTAGACAAAAAAGAGGCGTTCTTATTGAGCGGAGGTTGGAAATACTCATTTTGAAAACTTTCCTTAAGTTCTTTCCAAAGGCGCAAGGGAGTGTATATACTGAGACTCGCACCAGCCACTTCGTGGGAAACCTCTGCCAGGTATCCCCGTTCCTGCCATCCATCTTCCCATGTCTCCGGTGTGCTGAGCTCCACAGCCCCGCATAGCAGACAGTCTGCTGAGGGGCATGTATATTTAAAATACAGGGTCACGCGGCTTGTATTTGAGGATGGTTCTGGAAGGGGGTTATGAAATAGCTCTCTCGGGACTGTTTTAAGGAGAGAACACTTGGACAGCTCTGTGGCCGGACACAGTCGCTGCTCCCGCTGAAGGTGAGGTAGGAACATGAGCTTTTCCTGGCTCAGCCTCTTGAGTCTCTGATTCTGCTCACACACATCCGAGCAAGGAACGAGTCCACAGCTATTGCTATGAATGTGGATAAGATTGCTTCATTAAAAGGAGGAACAAAAGTCGTATGTTATTTATTTATGGGTTTGTTTGCTTGTTTGTTTGTTTGCTTATCTATTTATTTAGTGGCTCTGAACCAGAATAGGGAATACAATTATCTCCATGCAAACAACTGAGAAGTGCAGAAAATGCAGGCCCTGTCCCCTTAAAGGAGTCTGTTACTTGCATCCTTTAGACCCTGGCTGCACTAAAGCCACACAAATTTGTAGGAATAAGCAACACCAGGTTGTTCTGCAGGGTGCTAGAGTATGAAATGCGCTGAGGAGCACATCACGGAGAACCAGGGCCCCATTAGGCACGGAACGGCTCTGGGGGGAGGTACTCAGCCAATGTAATTAGCACTTTGCCAGGAGGCTGGGACCTCCTTGTAGAGATGTTCATTGACACAAGTGGAGTTTTGAAGGGGAATGAGAATTGGGATGTTTAAGAATAACAGGTACATGGTCATACGTATGGAAGAACTCCCTGAGTGCCGAGGTAAAGGTGTTCCCTCTGTTCTGAATGCCAGCTTTCTCTCTCTCTTCCTCATTTGCGCACAGCTCCCCAACCCCACCCCACACCCCAGAACTTTCCAAGCCTCCTCCCCTCCTCCCAGCCAGTGACTCCCAGAGAATCCTCCATATTCACCTATTTCAGTAGTCCGCAAGCCGTAGCCTGTGGGCCAAATTCAGTCGAGTAGCTAAGCATGGTTTACATGTTTAAAGGATTGGGTTTTTAAA